AAATGTGTTCAGAAGCATGCGCATTGATCAACTCGGCATGAAACTACTAGTAAGTCACGTGTCGTGCTATCAACCATACTGTACCGATGCGAAAGCAGAAACACGACTCACTGCAGTTCACTGTCGCGACATGCCACTCACTTGTACACACATACCCAGATTTCCTAGCATGCCAGTGAGTCACGGTTAAATCCAGGACGCGAACTACTCGTACTCACTTCGCCAGCTGTACTCACAGCGCCTGACAAGACGCATTTTTGTCCCTTGCAGCAGCGATCCCAGTTGCAATAGATGCGACAAGCATCACTGGTGTCAGCGTCGCTGCGGCTGTCAACGGGACTGGCAGATATTGACGCTGTCAAAGCAGCAACAACCGGGAGGACGAAGTAGAAACGCATCGTTTGTAAGGATGTGATATCGGATCAGATAAATCTGAAGGGAACGGCAGAAAGACGGCTTGCTTTTATGTCCTGAATATTGTTATGGCAGAACTTTACGGCGATGTAGGAAGAACCTTTGATTCTTCCTCATATCTTCCCAAGATCTTGTGAACTTTGTTCACGCACGGTTATACGGACAGTTCGACCGTAACGTGGTTCGCGAACTACAACCTCCCACCTGACTCGACTCTGCATTGAATGAAGCACCCACCCCGTTGCGACTTTCATTCATCCGGTGCGCATTCGTTTGATGTAACGATTAAAATTGTGCCACATCCATTTGATAAAGTCTGGGCTAAGTCCGCAAGCCAAAATCATGTCTTCACCCGCCCTTGCTAGTCTCCCCTAGTCGGACCGTATAGAAGGAAGACAGTCGTTCCTTCTATTATGCGCCCCTGCGAACTAAGAAAAATCAGCGACAAAGCCTCGCCACAAGATACAAGTACACACTGAAATAATCTATGGTGTCCTACGCCTGCCTGATAAATGGCAAATCTGCGGGTGGGATGGTTCACTTCGAATCTTGGAAAGTGAAACACAGGTCGGGGATGCCTGGAAGGATGAAGAAACTGCAAGAGTGCGAGTACTCACCCATAGCATTATCACCAGACGGCAAGACAGTAGCAAGCGGGAGTGATGATGCAGTGAGATTGTGGGACGTTGACACGGGAAAGGTCACAAAAAATGGACGGGGCACACCAAGGATGTGTGGTCTGCCTGCTGGAATCCGGACGGTGGGCGAGTAGTGAGCAGATCCGAAGATACGACATTCAAAGTGTGGAATGTCGAGAGTGGGAACATTATCCTTGGACCAATTGTGATTCGAGACAAGGAATGACAGCTGGAGCATCAGGAAAACCCTCCCACGCTAACTTAGACAAAGTTGACAAATTATACCAAATACCACTAGAATCAATAATCCTTTCTAAAACATGGCTAATGTAGTATAACATTTACACTACAATATAATGTGATACATAAAATCAACAAAAAAGCGGTTGTATCATTGTTTTTCTGTAAGGCTTCTGTAGAATGTACGAAGGTGCTGTTACCGGGTGATATATAGAGCTTGGTATGTCTTCTGACTGTCATTTCTTCGCATTTTTCGCTGTTATTTTATTTTAATAAAATATATTACCAGTTGATGCTCATAGGATGTTTTATATAGTAAAACAGTTAAAAGTGCGGAAAAGATAAGGATTGGTATAGTTTTTTTTTGGACAAGCAAGTCTATTATGTAGCAACTGACACTGTCTAGCCCTACATAAACACTTATATCAGTATCATTGAGATGCTGGTCCGAGGGAAAATGCACTTGTGCACACTCTGAGATTGATGTCAGAGTAGTGTGGGACTCTGTGCTACCTGGTGACCCCAGTCTGCAGGGACCTGGGAAGTTTGATACCCACTAAAACCTTGAGGGATGTGACCCAGTTCTTTGGTGAAGGGGATGCTTGTGTGATTACTTCTGACCAGGTTGATTCTACAGTTCTTATTTGTTTTTTTGATTTGTTTAGTTTGCATGTTATTACTCGGTCTGTACTGAGTATTCAATTTATGTTGTGTTGCCAGCACTTGGTGATGGAGTCTTCTGAGATTAGTTGTCTTCCCCATGATGCATTCACATCTTGTGACCCAGATAAGATGCACTGATTCTGATATCAGTATTCTTAAGAGGCGTGATGTGCCTCTTTTCTTTTGTGCTAACTTCCTGTTGTTGGGGTCATTTTCATTCTTTGTGTGGGGTATTTCCAGTGCCCTGCATCCTAGGATGGTGCCAAGAAATATTGCAGGCTACAGAATGGTTGATGTTGGCCATAGTTGCTCAGCCAGGTTCCAGATTCTCTGTAGTGTTGGATTTTCATATTCGGTCAGGATGTGTTCCATGGATTTGGTGTTGGCATGGCAGAGTGCACATCATGTGTGATGTTCATGTAAAGGGATTTTGCTCCAGTAGTTTCCAATTCAGTTGGCATTATGGATGGCTTTGTAGAGAAGAAGCTGAATTTTTTTGAGGTGTCTTTGTTGCAGCATTTTAACCAGATTTTACTGTCTGTTTCTAGGGAGTCGGTTGCCCTCTGTATCATGTATCTGGTGATATTGAGGTGACTTAGTGTGGCTCTAGTGTATGGTAGGTTTTTTGCTTTGTATTGACGCTGCACTGGGTATGACTAAGTAACAATGACTGGTCTTGAGGTGGGGGGAGTCGACCAATCAATTGTGAGAGTGCACTTGTGAACAGATGGGGATGAGTGAAGGGCTAACAGTAGTTTATGAAGATGACATCAAGAGAGGTGTGGGTTTGGACTACAAAGGCAAAGCCTTCGTAGTTGGTGGGGAAGGTCTGGCTTGCCAGACCGCAGCTGTAGGCACGATCTGGGAGGGTTTTGAGCATGGTGTTTTGAGCCAATGAGAGGTTGAGAACATGTCGAGCGTGGAGAAAAACCCAAACCTTCTGAGCATGAAAAGGTTAGTCTTGAGTTGCAGGAAGAGGGGAAGAAAAAAGCTGTGAAGAGGAAAAACGAGACCACACCAGAGTGAGCATGGCTCGACTACAGTTGAGTTCCTCTTTGAGGAGCCTGAACCCAGACACAATGTGAGACGTGGACACAAGGGAAAGTACATGTTGTGAGAGGATTGGTAAGAAGTACATGATCGAACACAGTTATACACTAGATAATGCAGTATTAGGTAGGATATGCGAGCATTGAAAATTGAGCATGGTGGAATCTAGGCATGCAATTGCAAGAGGGGAATTGATGGTGGTGGAAATGAAGAGTGGAAGGATGGATTCAATTTGACGCCAATAGTCCAGGAAAGCGCGTGACTTCCAACAACCCTGCGTGGCGACAATGTCTGGATGGACTCCTTCTAATAGCAACTCTGTAGCTCTGCCTATGCGGAAAGTGTGACCTGGCATGCTGGGGTGTCCTGCTGAGACCCAGATTTCGTTGCAGTGCACCAGGAACCATGGCTTGGTTAAGGGTGACCAAGAGCCCTCTGCGGTTTCAAAGGAGAAAAGAGGAGCATGCAACAGAATGTTGAGGTTGCTTTGCAGATGGTAAATAAAGGTGTTGAGAGGACACGTGGGATGTGTGCGCCCTGTGATGCTGATGGTGGCGCCTTCAGTATTGGTCATTTTTGTCCATGGGATTTGAAATGTGGTATGATGTATGTTGTCAGTCTCATGCACCAAAATAGGTAGGATGAAGCAGGCAACATGTTTGACTGGATCAAAGGTGTTTGGGCTTTGAATAAGGAGTTCCCTGAGGCTGAGAGAGGCCTTATGTGTGGAGATGATAGAAGTGGGGAGGTACATACCGGCAGCAGGACCAGAAGGCAGTACAGGCCATGGCGAAGACGGCAATATCAAAGGAGTTGCTCAGATTGAGTCCTGAAGCTAATTGCAAGAGGGCTGTGAGAGTGACAGGAGGGCATTTGGAGCATTTGGAGCCAGGGGGAGTGAGCTTGGAGAGTCCTTGGCAGACATGACAGAGAACATCCAATTCACCCATGTGCCAGTCTGCCCCATTGACAGAGTGCCAGTAGTGAAGGCCTGCCATCCAGGAATTGGCAGCACTGCTTGATACAGTCCCAGCTGCATTGGCAAGAAAAGCAGCAAGAAGTTCAGATGAGGTGGGCATGCGATTGGACTCCAGAATGTCATGGAGATCACAAAATTGAGTAAAGCGAGTAGTCCAGCACCGTAGTTACTATGAGTGTCTTCATCTAGGGACTGGATCATAACCAAGAAAATTTTGAGTATGATGGAGTCGGGGAAACAAAGGAGAAGATCATTCTGGAATTGTAAGCCATGGGGAGTGGTCCAGAGGAGGACATGTTCGCTTGTGAGGACATTGTCATATCCCGTACCTCCAGATCCGGAATTCCGGATCTGCTTCATTGAAGTCCGTTCCTCTGTCTTACTATTCCGCCTGGCGCTCTGCCTTCATCTCCGCACTCACCCCTAACTTCTTTTAGATTAGCTATTGCTCCGGTTACCAGTTATGTTCTTTCCACTATGCTTATTGATCCGTCCATTCCTACTTCATTTCCGACTTCACTGCTTTGATCCACTACACTTAGTAATAGACTGTCCACATGCTTTGTACATAGCCCTTATCTTTGCTGACTGATTTACTTACATGTTACCTACAGTATATAAACCCCTGTAATACTCCGGAACTCCTCAGTTCGAATATCATCTTAGTTCTGCTCATTCCTGCAATCTCCGGACTTGAGTCTCATCTCTTGTCCACCTCCGAGTCTTAGGGGTTAAACCTTAGGACTACCTCTCCGGCTCTACCTTAGGGTAGTCTAACCTCTGTTCTGTTTCTACTCCGGACTTCCGTAGTAGCCTTACTCCGTCCCAGTATAAACCTTCCGGAGTTCCGCCAAACTCCACCGACACTAAGTCCTCCGGAACTCTCTGGACTTCCATCGGACTTCCCCTCTGTCCCCCAGAAATTAAAGGGCACGTACTCAGGTAAGGGGCGCAGCGCACGAGCTGAAGCCGAAGCCCTTTAAGTAACCTCTCCCTTGAGCACGACCTTAACAGACATGGGGTCAATGGGGGGAGGGGGAGATGGTAGCATCTTTGCGGGGAGGATGTGGGATGTGAACACAGCTGTCTGGACAAATGACGGCTGTTTCGTGGATGTTGAGAGGAGAAAGGTTTGGGAGGTCTGCTGCGGTGTCATTCGACATTTGAGAGGAAGGGGGTGAGTTTGATTGGGAGGGTGATGCAGAATGGGATGTGTTTCGAGGGAGGTGGTATGATATTGTGTGAGATGGGGTCCACGAGATTGATACTGGTATTGATATATATAAGGGATATAGAGAGATTTTCAGACCTGAGAATCTCCTTGGATTGTCTGATGGACATGTTCAAGGTGAGGTTGGAACATCAGCCTTTGTTAAAAGCACCAATGACGCCTTCGTTGTCGCTGCATATGAGGATATTGGCATCAGATATGCCCAATTGAGAGGAGATGCAGATCACAAACTCAACTGCAATCATTTTGAGTCAGCCAATGTCATGACTGACAGGGTCATGCCATCCGTCACACATAGGCCACATGTCCCAGAGGCTGCTCCAGAGTATGCTGATCCTGGAACTAGTAGATGTGTCCACCCAAATACCATAGTTACAGGTTGGCAGACAGGGAACAAGTGAGTGAGGGATGGGTTTGGATGTGAGTAGCTTGAGCCACCAGCCCAGGTCAGAGATGACAGCAGAACACATGAAGTATGGAATGAAATCATTTGGGTAGTCCACAATCCAACAATAAAGGTTGGAGAGGTATGTGTGGCCATAAAGGAAAATGAAGGCACAGTGGGTGAGTGTGCCTGCAATTTTTTCAGCATCCCATTTGAAGACCATCTTGTTTCTGAAGGTGTCGAGGAAGGATTGGAGGTGGAAAATGTATTTGAGGTGTTTGCATTCAGGGAGAGAGACCAAATGGTCTGGGAAGTTGAAGGTGTAACCGATGTAATCGTGAATGTCACCAAAATTGGCACCTTTAGTTGGATGCCAGGGAATGTTGATGGGGCCAATGTAGACCTTGGAAGAATGGAGATCATAGTAGTAATGGTATGGAGTGCCATTGGATATTCTGGTGAAGGGGCTGTTTGGATCAGGAACACAGATAATGAAGAAGTTGTCCACCCATTTCCAGGTGGGACCGATGTTAGCATGCTCCCAGATGTCCTGGGTAGCATCAGTGACTCTGCCTTGGAGACCAGATGCTGAAGTGGTACTGAAAGGTAGGTTATGGTCAAGGAAAAATTGATTGTGATAATGTACCACAAGGTAACATTTATGATCGGGGAGAATAGGAATGGTACAATAGGCACCTTTGATATTGAGGGAGGCAGCTTGAGTGCCAGATGGAGTGGTGGCCACCTAGAGGGTGGGAGGGTGAGTAAGGAGACTTGGAGAAGGAAGAGGGAGGTTTGCATGGAGGCAAGGGGAAAGGAGAGCCTTGGGGCTTATAGAGTGTGTTGGCTGCCCCTAGTGTGTGAACTCCTCAGTGGTTGGTAGCTGCGAGGTCATAAGTGAGGTAGGGTAGCAGATGGGGAAACACAGGAATGAAGGAAATGTGGAAGGCATGAAGGAGACTTATGAAATTGGCGACTAGCTAGGCTGTGCCCCAGTGAGTGGGGAAGTCCTTGGCATCAATTTCATCATTGATAGAACAGCCAGAGGGGCCTTTGAAGGAGAGATTACGACAAACTCAGAATTTTTTGGGATGCCCAGGGGCTTCTTCTTTGACAGCCACTTGTAGTGGGGAAGAACAGAAGGGGCCGATTTTGGCTTCTAAGACTTCTTGCGTGAATGGACTAGAGAAAGGCTGAGAGAAAGTTTGGTCTTGATGTAATCTTGAATTAGCTGATCGTGCTCAAGTGCACTAGGCAAATTAGGGGGAGCATAGGTAGTGTCAATGGGATTGAGCTGCCCAAGAGGAAAACCATGTCTGATTTTATCAGGGAGCTGTTGGTACTGGTCAAGAAGATTGGCATTCCGGAGAAAGAGTTTGAGTTGGTCAGTGCAATAAGGTGTAAGGACTTTGGAGAAGTCAGTGTCCGAGTCATATGCAGTGGAAATGATGTGGAGATTGTCTAAAAATACATGACGAGGAGGATGCAATAAAGAAATAGGGTCCATGTCCCATGTAGAGTATGGGATTGAATTAGGATCCATTGTCCAGACATTTTTGGCTGCAGGCGCCATGGTCTGAGGATCTGCATAGGGAGCATGCATAGATTCCACCTCCACAATGGGTGCATCTAGTGCAGGCTCGTTTCCCATTGCAGTAGATATTGAAATCGACACAGTATTTGGTGTCTGGAGAGGCACAACAAGTGATCTGCTTGTTGATGACCTTTGAGTGTGGTGTCAAACCCGACGGCGTGGTGCTGGCGGTGCAGTTGGGAAAGGTATGACCAAGGTTTCCGCAGCAGAGGCAGATGGGGGGGAGGCGGTCACCTTCTGGCTTTGAGGGGCCCCAAAAGGACTTGTCAGCAGCAGAAGGTTTGCATGTAGAGTCACGGGGGTAAGGTTCATAGTAATGAGACTTTGAGGCTGCTTCATGAACCTCTTTGAGGCATGCTTCTCTAAGAATGCAAGTTTTAATGCTCTCAAATTGGTGATGGTACTTAACTTCATCAAGAGGTTACAGATCCGCAGTGTATGAGGCTCATTGGGCCATGTCAAAAGCTAGAATGGCTGGCCAGTGTTCTTCAAAGTCAGCATGTTCGCGTAAGTCCTTGTGGTAACGTGCCCATTGGTCATGAATCTCAGGGGAGGCATAGTCTGTAAGCAATTTGAGGAAGCATGCCCAGGCTTTGTGCCATTCTCCAATGGAGATGGAGGATTCTGTGGGAAACTGGGAAACATTGAGGATGTGGCACTTCATAGGTGTGGAATTGCAATGGGAGGTATAATGTGTAACAAATTTAAGTGTTGATGGTTCTAGGAATAAGCAAGTCATGACTTTCATAGTTAGGATTGAAAGTGGGATATGCTGATGGCACCTGGCTAATTCCACGATGTAAGTATGTATGCCGTATGTGTCTGAAATGGAGGTTGAGGAGGTACATTCATTATTGATATCAAAGAGGAGGATGGGAACATTGTTGGAAGTAGGTACAGTGATGGATGGGATGACTGGAGTAGTGATGGATGGGATGACTGGAGTAGTGATGGATGAAGAAAGAGAAGTGGAAGTAGTGGTAGTAGATGAAGAAGAAGAAGTAGTACTAAAAATAGTTGCATGTATCTTGGCGAGTGCCAAGATCATGGCATTGATATTCATATTAGTGGGGCTAGGGGTTGAGGGAGGAACCATTGGTTGCATAGCAGTAGAGGCAGAAGTGGAGGAGGATGACAACGAGGTATTAGTGTTAGTAGTATTAGGATTAGTGAATATAACAGGGGGAATGGGAGGTACAGTGATGAGAGGTTCATCATTATTGACTTTAGTCTTGCCTTTGTTACGATGAGTGAGGTGGATATTATTTCTGGCCACAATGGCCATGTTTTTGGTGATAATCTGATCATGGGTGCGGGTGATTCTACCAGCAGGAGGGTTAGAAGAAGTCATATCTACAAAAGACTGAAGCAGATGGAGAGATGATGAACAATATCGACAAAAGACTCGTGCTGATATGGGAAGGTGAGGGCACGAGGCAAAGAGAATCTGAGAATCTTTTTTGAAGATTGCGCGCATATATGTTAGTGCACACAGATGTGGTCTATGCAAGTGCAAGAGGTGTCAAAGACACGTGCACTTACAAAGCCCTAGCTCAATGTATTGTTGGCTCGCAGGCTCACTGACTCATTGAGCATCCAAGTGCTTTGATACTTTGATACATGGAAGAACCCGAACTGCTAATCTGCTTGGATGATGCTGGTTCGGTACAATGCCCACTGTGCATGTGTCTACTGCTATGACCCCTTGCACTGCTGGGCTCCTGGCACCCTTTGCCCTGCTCCTGACTCTGCCACTCACTCTCGCCCCTGCCTGCTCCTGCCTGATCTGTCCTGCTGGAATGTCCCGCCAGCACGCCCCGTTACACTGCTGATAGTTTTGCACCCTGCAGGTCAAAGTCTGGTGGGATGGTGGTGTCTAAGTTGTTGGGGATATCTTTTAGTGCTCCTGTGTTAGCTAGTGAGTCTGCTTCTTTGTTTCCTTGGTTGCCATTATGACCTTTCACCTATAAGAACATTGTTTGTGCTGCTTGTCTTCTCAGGTGGTATGCTGTTGCTTTTAGCATGTCTTTATTTGCAATTCCTATCCAGCCTCTGTCCTCCCAGCTTTGTAGGTGGGTTGTCATTCCATCTATTACATATCTTGAGTCTGTGATAAACAATATTGGTGTGAAGGGGCTGACTGACTGTAGGCCAGCCAGGATTGTGGTGATCTTGCCGATTTGATTTGATTGTGATTTTTCTGGTACTTATATTGCTTTGTTGTTTGGGTTGTTTTGTCTGAACCATATGCCACTCCTGCAATGTGTGTCTTTTCCATTATTCAGGCAGGATCCATTGGTGAATATTTGTATAGTTTGTTCATTAGTGATGTTTCGGATGTTAGGATGTTGGAGTCACAGTGCTGGCATTTGGGTGAGTCTATTTTTGTCAGTGAATATTCTAAAGCATTCTGAGATGTCCAACTTAGCATTATTGTGGGGTCGAAGATTATTTTCCCCCTTCTTCTGGCTCTTGCATTTTTTTTTTTTTTTTTTCTTTTTGGTGGTGAGTTAAGGTGAGGTTGTCATTTCTGTGTGTCATTCTTGGGTTGAATTTGGGGAGTAGTTTTTTTCAAGATGTCCTTCACAATGGAGAGGCATCTATGTGGGTTGCAGCTGTTGTTCCTGTTGTTTTTGCAGGGGTCACATGCACAGTTGCTTCTTGGTCGGTGGGCTGTGTGAGAGTTAGGTCTATCGGTGATGGCTACCATGTCCTTTATCATTCTTATTCTGTGGGTGTTTTGGAGGCACACATTTTTTTGTTTTGTGGTATGTTCTGGGTGGGGTGCCTAGGTGGTGCCATGTGAGCAGCTGTTGTTTCATGTTGTTTGAAAGTTTGATTTGGGTGAAACTGACATGGTACTTTCTTGCAGCCTTGAGCATAGAGGTAATTTCAGGGGGGATTTTCTTTGTTTTTGGTCCTTGGGAGGGTGGTGCCCAGGAGGTGAGGAACAAATTGATGTCATTGGTGTCTTTTAGCCCATCGGGTTTAAAGAGGTTTATTATGGTGTCAGTAACAAAAGCCCAGGTGGGGCAGGCCAGTGAAAGATTGAGGTAGGCACTTAACCATGTTATTGTGATTGCTTGATTTCTGGCATTGATGTCCAGCAGGTTAATTCCACCTTCTTCACTTGGTTTTTGCAGTTGTTCGAGGCTTATCGGTGGGGTTCTTTTCCATCCCAGATGAAGTGTCTAATTGATTTCATTGGGGCGTTTTCTATGTTCTTTGGCATACCTTGTGCCTTTGATAGGAATTGTGTCATGCCACCTGCAAACATTTGTATGATGTGGTGTTTACCATCAAGGGTAGGATGTCCAGTGTTCCATCTTTATAGGTGTGTTTCAATTTTGTCAAGGATTGGCTCCCATGGTGTTATCACATTCAGATTGTTCCCAATCCATGCTCCTAGAGATCTTATGAGGTCACCATCTTTGGCAATATGTATATTGTTTTCTCATGGTGTGTCTGTTTCATTCATTTTTTTGTTCTTGATTCTTGATGCTCTGAAATCTTTAGATCTGATTGGGAGAATTTTGGTTTTTTCTAGGTTAAATTTCACTCCAGAGGTGAGGCACCAATCATTTAGGATGTTTTGAAGGTTGTCATATTTATCTCCTTTTCATAAGTAGACTGTTGTGTCATCTGAATACATGTTTACTATGATTTTGTCCTGCAGGCCAGGTATGGTGTATCCCTGTAGGAGGGGCATGTTTCTCAGTTTGCAGGCTAGGGGTTCGATTGCGAGGTTGAAAAGGAGGCACGACAGGGGGTCTCCTTGGCGGATGCCTCTTGTGACTTGGAATGAGGAGCTCATGAAGCTGTTTATAGCCATGGTCATGAATGTATTTTCATATAGTGCGTGGACTGTATTGATGAAACCATCTGGTAAGTTGAAGACTTTCAGTGTGGCGAGGAGGTAATCATGGTTATCCCTGTCATATGCTTTCTCTTGATCTAGTGCTACAATTAAAGGATTGGTATAGGAAAGTATCAAAAGTGCGAAAATGATAAGGATTCATATAGTATTACACTACTCAAAGTATTAAAATGTGGGAATCATAAATATTGGTGTAGACAGTGTCAAAAGTGTGGAAACCATAAGCCTTTGTATAGTAGTGACATAGTCTAATGACATGGACACTTGGTACTACTATTCGTTACCACCAGTTCATGCACACCACATCTCATGCAGTCACACAAATGTCACTAAAAGCCATGGTATGGTCACACTGCCTGATTTTGAAGTCCACTCAATGTTGTATTAGACATTAAGGAAGGTATATATGTATGAAGTGTACTGACTATGTAGTATGTATGTAGTGATCTAAATCATGTATTGCGGGTTACTGGAATAATATAAACTGTGATTATTATTAGGATGCTTGTGCAGTAATGGCTGTGATGAAGTAGATGTGATGGGAGTGACTGATGAGAATACAACACCAACATGATTTGGCCAATGGTGTTAGGTACCATGCCGGCTCAAGAAGCGGAGGGGTCGGGGCTTGGCTTCAGCTCTTGCACTCCACCCTTAGCCAAGTATGTGCCCCGAATTTGGAGCGGGTCCGATGTTGTCCGACAGTAGGAAGAGTAGACCGCTTAGGTCCGCTTTGAGGGTTGGGAGGTAAATGCTACTAGTGGCAGGCTGACTAGGAGCGGAGTGGAGAAGGCGGAGGATAGTGCAGAGGGTGGATAGGAGCAGGGGGAATACTTGATAGGGGCAGAGAAGTAAGGAGAAGACTTTAGAGCATGGCTCTAAGTCAGAGCGGAGAGTCGGAGGTGACAACAAGATGAAACTTGTGTCCAGAGGAGGCAAGGTCCTACTGAGAATTCTCACAAGTAGAAACTGCAAGAAGACAAGTAATATTAAGACTGGGGATAATATCTAAGTACAGGATATATTATATACTTCTAAGTATGAGGCAGTGATCAGGATAACTATGTTGTAAAGCTATGTACCAAGGATATAATTTGTGAGTACTTACACAGGCAAAGACATAAGTCGGAGCGGATATCAATATGTACGTGTCAGATCAGTGATTGAGCGGTAAGGGGAATTACTAGTGATCCGGAAGTAAGGGTCTATGTACTGAAGGGGAAAGTATATATCTAAAAGGGGAAAGAGGTTCCAGTTGAATGGAGACGTTATAGAAGGGGACCGGTCAAGCGGAAGCATAGGAGCGGAATGCAGACTGTAATTGGATGGAGTGGAGGATGGATGGAGCAGAGGTGGTCGGAAAGTGGAGCGGATATTAATATCGGAGTGGTCGGATCAGGTATATGACAAATGGTTTGGATATGGAATGGGGACAGATCCCTGCATCTGCAAGAAAACCAGTGGTTGTGGGTTGGACATAGCATTGGTGGCCAGAGGGAGAGAAGTACTTGCTGAAGGTGTTGAAGTTCCACTCGAAGTTGGGTTTGCAACATGCCCACACCACTTCAAACCATATAGCACCGAAAATAGAGGATTATCCCCAAGGGCTTTGCAAGTGTTGGGATCCTCCAGGTGAGTTTTGATCTGTGCAGAAAGATCAACAATTTTCCCATTTCTCAAGAGTCCAAGTGCCCCCACAAGTGCTTCCAGATCTTCTTTCTGTTCATATGATGTGAGGGGGCCATTGAATGTCCTTGTTGTGATGTTGTTGTGAATGTGTGCAATGCAAGCTTCTTCATCCAACTTTTTCTTTTCCTTCTTCTCCTCCATTCTTTCTCTTTCCTCACATCTGCATCCACTTCAAACAACTCTTTGAGCTCTGGAGCTGTAACATAACAAGCTTTCATCTTTGTTGTTGTGCAAGTTTTTTTCTCCTCTCATTTTCAGCTTGGACCTGCCAGTCATGATTCTCATGCCATGTGATAGTACAATGAGCATTGGTGGCATCAACCTGTGCTGTTTGCATAGCAACTGCCTCCATGAGTGTTCGATTTTGTCCATAAAGTTGCTTGATGTGTTCCTAGAGCTTGTCCTTGCTTGCTGCCATAACTTGGACAGAGGACATAGGACATACAAGAGCTTGACATGGTGCAGAGGCAGATAATCATGTGAGAACTCTTGTTGTTGCAGGTGTGATTGTAGAAGTTGAGGCTTCAGAGGGAAGATGAAACAAGCCTGTGACAGGTGATAACAAGTGGCACCTGGCCTTCCCAATAAGTAACTATACTAATAGTGGGCAATTACATATGTTGGCGATTATTAGAATAGTCGTTTACACTAAATTCTCAACACCAGCCATAAACCTTGCCCCAAACCCTGTGTGTCCTTAGGTGTATCCTATGTCTAAGGGTAGGTATGTTCCGTTCCATATACTATTTCGTCCCGATGCTTATACAGCAGGCCCTGCTTTGTTGCTAAACCTTCCGCTCCACTATATGAACTGTTCCCACAACTTTCCCTTCCCCTCCCTCATCATCGTCTGCAATGTCAAGGCTGTCAGTCCCTCTCCTCTCCTACATGGGCTTGGTCATGAACATCAGCAGCCTTGATGGATTACCGTGGTTCCTCCTCGCGAAGGGTTGCCGGCCTGTCAAAAGCAGCCATTAAACACGGCTACTGCGGTCTTAACAGCCATTAATCACGACTACCGCAGTCATACCAACCAGTCAGCACCTTGCCTCATCTCCATTGATCGCCACCATCCATGCCAGCGAGTATGACCATCTTTCCAAGCTTCCCCTCATCAGTGACTCTGGTGTTAGAAAGGTATGTTGCTACTGCAGCACCCAATCTCAAGTATCTGCTGACCTCGTGTCATTCAACAGACTCCTCTTCTCCATTTCAGAGACAACACGTACACAGAATTATGCTATCACTGTTTGTATGTTGCTACTGCGGCATCTCAAGTATCTGCTGACCCCGTGTCATTCAACAGTCTCCCCTCCTCCATTCTGCGGACGACATGTACACAAAGAGTTACACCAGCACTATTGGTGTTGACCTCAAGACCTGCACTATTGAACTCGAAGGCAAGACCGTCAAGCTACAGATTGTGAGTTGGTCCGTGCACTATTCTGTCCCGATGCTTATCCGGTGGGTCCCGCTTTGTTTCCATTTCACAGACTACACGTACACAGAGAGTTACATCAGCACTATTGGTGTTGACCTCAAGACCCACACTATTGAACTCGAAGGCAAGACCGTCAAGCTACAGATTGTGAGTTGGTCCGTGCACTGTTCTGTATATCTTCTGATACAAGATTTACAGCTCACTGAATGTTGGTTTGAAGTGGCCAGTACTGTTTACAAAGCAGAGTAGGTAAGGGGTGACTTTTTCAGATGTGAGTACATGTGCAATGGATGTTGCACTTCATTGAACAGCATTTATGAATATGTGATGTTCATGTCTGTATTGCAGGCAGTTGAACAGATAATGGTATATGGTTTCATTGATTCCTGGACATATGGGACAGTGTGGAGTGTCACTCTTGCTTATTCAATGCAGGTGGTAGTTCAGTGGGATGTGGTGGGTGCAGAGTTGTATATAGATGCTCAATATGCACTTGTGTAGACCATTGGTGAGTTTGAGAAATTTTGAGGAGGGCATTGATGGGTCTATTGTTCACGACCTTGCATATCTCAGTGATTTTTCCCATATGGTCTTCCATTGTGTTTTCAATTTGATCTTGTGTGGTAGTTCTTGATTGGGTCTGTTCTGATGTTGTCCTTCAGCAGCCTTTTTTGCTTCTTGGTCTGCGTGTTCATTGCTGTGGACCCCTTCATGTCCTGGTATCCATCATAGTGTTAGGTTGAAGTTGCCATCTCCTCTTCACTGTTTTGCCAGGTATCTTGTCATCTGGTCAAAGTGTCTGGCCAAGAATCCACTTCCTTCCTTGCTGGTTGATGTCCTACATTTGATGGCAGCCTGGTTATCGAGGAGGATCAAGATTGGGTATACAATGTTGGGTTTGGTCACTATTAGTTGGGCTGCCAGTGTGAGTCCTAACATTTCTGCTTTGTATATGATATGTTCCTCATCTGTTCCTGGGTTGTATCATAGTACTTGTGGTTCTTGCCCTTCTCGCATCAAGATTGCCACAGCTCCAATTCCTCTGTTATGTCCTGAGCCATCAGTAAATATCTGGATTTCGTCCTTCAAATTGCGGTGTTCACTGATTGTGTTCTTCTTCATTTTGGCTATATGGATTGTGTAGATTGTGTCGGCAGGTAGCTGAGTCTGTCAGATTGGGTCTATGGTCTCTGTATCTTTGGGGAAGATTTGAAATGAGTGAAGAAGGTTGTGCAGTGATGATCTGTGCGCTTGAATGTTGTGGTTTGTAATCCATTTGAGCTTATTGTGAAGAGGGTGGGTCTGAGGGAGTGTAGCTAGGTGTACTGTGGCTCTGTGGCAGATCTTCTGTAAGAGCAGGGAGATTGGGAGTAGGTTAGCATGTGCTTTGAGTGAGTCTGTTGGCATGGATCTCATTGCACCAGTGATGCTGATGGCTGTGATGCATTGGATGGTTGTTAGACATTTTGCAATACCTTTGGATCCATGTTGTGTGTTGTTTGATCCTCACTTGAAGATTGGGTAGAACCATATATCAGTGCCGTATGTGAACTTTGGAATGGCTATGGTTTGGTATAGTTATTGCATGAGCTTTGTCAGTATTCCCATTGAGGTCCTTGAAAGTTGGTGAAGTTGGAGTACATATTTGGTCCCTTTTGTGGCAGCATGCTCCTTCCAGGTAAGCTCTTGATCAACAATGATGCCTAGGAATTTGGTGTGATGGGAGGGTTGGATTATTGTGCTGTTGAGGTTGATGGGTCGTCATTTCTTGGTTCTGCTGCGAGTAAAGTCCATAAGAGCAAATTTACTGGTTTCGAATCTAGAGTTGTGATCTTTCGACCATTGGAATCCTCCTCTGTCACATTCAAGCATATCTTGTAAGATCTCATGGGTTTCTTCAAATGTTCTTGCAATAGCTACATATGCGGTGTCGTCTATGAAGGCTAGGGCCATTTCTTCTTGCTTGTTGCCTATCTTCCCTTTGACAATATTGACTAGGTCCAAGTTATAGATGAGATAGCATATCATAGACAGTGGATCTCCTTGTCCAATACCATTCATGACAGGGAACCATTCTGATATGAAGTCATTGAACTTGAGTTGCGTGCGTTGGCCTGTGAGTATACATTCAGTGAAGGAGACTAGTTCATCCAGGAGACATCTTTTCTTCATATTGTGTATGAGGCAATCAGTGACAGCATTGGGGAAGGCTCCTTCTATGTCTAAGAAGAGCACTGAGGCTACTCATCCTGTTCGCCAGGCATCCTTGATCATTGCTTCCAGTAGGTGGACTGAGTCCATCGTAGATCTTCCAGGGCATCCTCCAAAGTGATTCGCTGGCAGTATTTGATGGGTCTCAAGTATGTGCATTACCTGTTGTGTGACAATTGCAGTCAGGAGTTTACATATCATATTGATGAGGGCAATGGGTCAGTGTGCCTTGGGTGCTGAGTAGTCGGCTTTTCCAGATTTGCATAGTATGACTGTAGTAAAGTCTCTCCATAGTTTGTAGTAGGTCTTCAGCACGAATACGGCCCTGAATATATGGTAGAGGTATAGGGTTAGTTGATCTGAACTGTGCTTGAAGACAATGTTGCATATTCCATCGGGTCCTGGTGCCTTGTACAGACTGGTGTTACTGATTGCTTGTTCTATGTGCTCCATTGTGATTGGTGTGAATGGTGCAGCTGGGTTTGGGTATTCAAAGTCTTCAGGTACTGAACTCATGGGTGGTGGAGGTGGGAAGAAGGTCTTGGCTAAGATTTCACTCTTGTTGTCATTGCTAATTGCTTCGCGCATGGTGCCATCAGCATTTTTGACTTGGAGGGCCGGGATTCATGTCTTGCCACCGTTGGTGCTTGGGGTTGAGATATACTTGTTTGCTATCCATATTTTGTGTTGCATTGCCTCCTCAAGGAATTGTTCCCAGTGTTCTTTCTTCACCTTGTAGATGGTTTCTGATATACAGTTTTGGAGTTTGCAGTGTTCCTCATGTGATGGGTGATCTGGTATTGCTCTGAACTTATAGGATAGGTTACTTAGCTCATGTTTCTGTTCTATCAGCTGCGAGATTTCCTTGGTCCACCAGTGTTTGGCATGAGGGTTGGGTCTGGTCTTTGGGACGGTTTCCTCTATGGTGTCATGTAGGGCTTTCACAAGGTTCTGTGCTGTCATGCTGAATTCATCTCTATTTGCTAGCAGTCAAGGTGGAGGGATGAGTCCTAGGGGTGTCTTGAGCTTCACGCAGAATTTCTCCCAGTCTACATCATGATAGTTGTATGACATGGATGTAGTGGCCTTGGGGACTTTGAAGTCAAGTGTGCTTAAGATTGGGACATGGTTGGTTTTTGGAGGGCAGAGGGCAGGGGCTGTATTGCAGACGGTGAACAAGTCTAGGGTGTTGTCAGTGCAAATGATGTTGTCTGGTCTAGTCCAGTTTCCTGAGCTCATTGATTGTAGTGTCAGTAGGTCCTTTGGGAGGGCTTGGCACATTCCATATTCTGCCATCAGTTCAATCCAGGTTGTGCATGAGTTTGGGCCTCTCATGTTTCACATAGGTGGTGGTTGCGTTCTTCTTCCCAAAGTGTGTGGTGACAGTTGAGATCGCTGAGCCAGATCATGTGGTCCTCTGCAGTTGGTTGCACTAGGTGGATGTGGTCTTCGAGATATTGGCATAGAGTCAGGGGGGTGTCTTGTTTTATACTGTCATTGTTCATGTTGAACAGGGTAAGTTTTCCAAAGGTGCCAGAGAATTGAATGATGACCACATCTGCCAAAGGGAAAGGTAATTGTCTCCAACTGTTGATGTTAATGTGTTTGTGTACCAGGGTGACTGTGCATGATTGCTTGGTGTGGGTGTATCACTGCATTGGATATACTATGTGCCAGTTGGGAGTTGCTCTTGTATTACCTTTAGTATCAATAGTTGGTTCCTGGATTGCTACTATGTCCCAGTCTCTGGCTGTTTGAGGTCCGCTTAGTATACAGTGTTGGGCGTCTGAGGAAGTGTTTAGGTTTTGCTGCCAGATGCAAAGACATGTTGTGGAGTTGTTCTGCATGTTAGATTTAATCCCAGTCGGAGGTGTTGGCCTCTGTTGATGGTCCTGGGATAGATTTGAATGTGAATGGTTCTGGGTACTGTCAGGGGGTACTCGGGTTGGAGCAAAGCCTCTCAAGGGTTGTCTCATGCCTCGGTTTCCTTGAGTTGTCGGCCTTGCAGAGTACATGTCTAGATGTTGTTGAGTGAGAGTCAGAGGTTGATGCTGGTTATCTCTTGAGGGAGGAGGTCTACAATATGGAGGGGGTTTGGGTGGGGCTGTTACTTGCATCCATTCTTTGTTTCACAGCATTTGATGAAGGTTGGGCAGTCTCTGTCTCAACTCGAGTGATCAATGGATTCACATTCCATGCAGTACTGTTTGTCTTCGATGATGCAGTCTGTCATTTGATGGTTGTTGCCGCAGTTAGCACAGGTATCATTGTGAGCAATACATTCCTTGGCTATGTGTCTGAAGTGTTGGCATTTGGCACATCACATTGGTTCTCGCCTGTTCTTCTTTGGCCAGAGCTTTACTTGGTCTACTGCAATGCTGTCTCAAATCACGTTGTTGGCAGTTGTAGGGTCTGTAAGTGTGATTAGTATGTGGGCTACTCTTTGTGTGCTTGTTCTCTGTTCCACTGGTTTTATCCATCATGCTGTCAGCACCATTCCCTCATTCCAACTGTTCTCTTGTTCCATCTGTAAAAGGTTAGCATTATCTGCTGGTCTGAATGAGGTAGGCATGAATGGTATGACAACAGTGTATGTTCTTTCCTTGAGCATGGCTTGTGGGTCTAGATTTCAGAGGAGGCATTCTTTGGCATCATTTTTGGTTCACAGGTATTCCGCAGCTTCCTTAGTTATCATTTCAATAACCATACCTCCCTGACAGAACTGGGTGATGGACCGGGTCTCTAGTTCTGGTGTGTCGCCGTCTTTGGGT